GATGACTGGTATTTATCAAAATGAAAGTAATTAGCCATGTCTGATTACACTCGTAACATTGCTCTGCAGAAATGGTGACTGCTTTGTGAATCTGTTGTTAGTATGTTAGGTGACACATTTTGCTAGTTAAATTATTGAGTTATCTTGCACTTTTTGTATATTTAGCTATTATTATTATCATCATCATCATCATCATCTGGGTTTAAATACAGACAGAGCCCACCTCCGGCCCCCTTATGTCCAAATTGCACCTAGCCTGAGTGCAGTACTTTAACATTAACCTTTCTTTGTAATGTTCCAAAATTTAGTGAAAGATTCAAGGTGACTTATTTAATATAAGGTCAGTTTTGCACTAAAAATCACATTTTTCATCAGCTTTAATGTTAATTGTCATTAGTCGCTCTGATTTCTTGAGTAGATGAGATATTCCTACATGACGCCTTGATTTCTATCCTGTGTTTCTGCATTTTGACTTAAAGGTAAGAAGCATGTAAGACGCAATCCATGAATAACTCGACATTTTATTTCATTTTCGCAGGGATAGTATATGAATGAATAAGCATGAATATTAATTGTAGTGATATTGATGCATTTTTAAGTTTCTTTTAGGCCGACATGTTATTTTTCAAAAAAATCAAGTGCCCATATCGTGAATAAAAATAACTTTTTGTTCACATTTGTTAGTTTATTTTGTTTTGCCTTAAAGTGGCAACACAAGACGCTAACAAATGAACATATGTACTGCGCCTGTAAGATTGCGATTATAAATACATATGATAACTAATAAACTAATCTTCAGCCGCCCCCCCAGTACCCAACAGGGCTCGCCCTCCTCTCTGATTCTGGTTAAACCCCTGATTATTATTATTATTATTACTATTATTATTATTTATTATTTTGTGAGCTCTTCGGTTCTGCTGAAAGCTCCACATCAGAGCCTTAATGAAGGGGCTCATTGTGCACCTGGCCCTGTTAGCTACGCCACGCACCTTAACCACAAAAATGCAACACATGAGAGGAAAACATGGCTACGTTCTTTTTAATCATCTGTCCATCAGTCTTTTAACCACTTATTCTGTAAAGGATCGCAGGGATCCCCATAATGCATTGAAATGATTTTCTTTTCTGGAAAAGCTGTACTTTATCAGTAGTGCTGTTTTTAGTAATGGCACTCAAGGGATATTTAGAAACTTCCAACTTTATTGGTTACTAGCAACCATTTAGGTGCAAAATGAAACATGCAGGACTTGCCTTTGTGGTACAGTCGGCGTGAGGATGTAGAGTTTTTACCTGCGTCGCAGCACAATGCCTGCGCATACCGATGCCTGCGCATACCGATGCCTTTTCTTAGAAGTTCCGCTGTTAACAAGTACCAGTGCAGCACTGGTCACTCAGTAACAGCTGACGATTGTCTAATATTGTGCTGATGTGCATGAATACTGTCACTCTGGCAGTAGCTGCACAGATGCCAAGTAGAGGGAGCACTCGCTCTCCTACTCTCCTCCTTTTAAATATTATTATTACGAGCTGTTAGTTTCTCCTTCCTTTGTGTGTCATTTCCCATTGTTTGTTTCCCAGAACGGAGGCCATTACTCTGCTGTGGTCCTGCGGGAGTTTAATCATACCAGAACCCAGGAGGGTCACACAAAGAGCCCCCTCCTCTAGCGGAATGCGGCTATCGCTGGCACGTTCTGCCACTTCGATTTCCATCCTCTTAGACAACAGACTAATTAGCTTTTATTATTGAAAGGCAAAATTAATTTCATAACCTACGTTATGAAGATTTTCCCTTTGTTTTAACAATTCCATTGTGTCTACACTCGATAGAGAGACCGTGCGCAAACTGCTAAACAGTGGCTCAAAGGGGCTTTTTAGTTCTGTGGCTGGTAAAGTGCTTTTTTTCTTGTAAGCATTTGAACTGAGTTCCGTTATTCCTTGAACACTATCACAGGTTTTCCATGTAAAGTCGGGATTTAAAAGGCCAAAACTTATTATTAATTAGTTATTAATTCTTTAATCACACACTTTTCTTCACACATACACAGGTGCATGTTTTGCTCACGCAGGTCGAATCAAATGTCCAGTTTGCTTCTTTGGATTTGCATTTGCGAGACAGGAGCTCCTTAAGCAGTACCCCTACGCCATGCCTTGCTGCAGCGTGTTCTACGGGTTTCCTGCAGTGAAAGATGCTGCCCAATGTGGTGCGTGAGTCAGCGAGCCATCTCAGCGAGTGCGGGACCATTACAGCCATTACAGAGTTAATGTTCAATAAACAGCAACGTAAAAGACATCTGTAGTTTTTATTGATGCCTGATATGCAGAAAGCGTCTGTTGAAAGATCACAAATAAATGTATTTATTATTAACTGTAGTATCTGTCTGTCTTCCTTTTGTAAGTCGGTCAGTCGAGTTATTGACTGAGCGTGGGGGACTGGCAACTGTAAAACCTGGCAACATGGGGGATGATTATTAAATTTTACTAAAGTAAGGTTAGTAGAGGCCCCTGGGCTTCAGCCTGGGTAAACCCGTATACTAAAGTGCCCTGATTAATGACTGTATCATAAGGCCAGTTGCTTTGACTGGCATCATCTTACCTGGTTGGATGAGCTTTCTCAAAGTTGATTATGCTGTGCAACAATCCTGACATGCAGGATGACGGTAAAGATAACATTGAAAAGCCAATTAGTTAAAACTTTTCAAATGTGTGGCATTTATAAAATATTCATTTTGTATACAAATGTTTAATTCAGTTTTAATTGAAACGTTTCTCTTGTGTAAAACTCATTTCATAGTGTCACAGGGTTGTTGCTTGCAAAATTTATTGTATAAACAACAATTAGTTTATTTTCAAAGACTGATACAGCACATGTTGTATATAAAGCCTGAAATAGTGTCTTAGATTTATTTCAGGAACTGGAACTTTACAAAATCCTGAAAATGAAAAACTCAGATTTTGCTGGTGCAGACCATGTTGCTCACTTGATTGTTGTGATTCTCCTTTAACTACTTTCCAAAATATCCCTGTTGATCAGCTTTTGTGATTTCATATGTGCTTCAAACATTAAATGTTAGTGTGTGCATACATTTTTCAGTGGGCATATTACCAACATTCCATTTATTTTTTGTGCTATGTCGAATATAGTACCTATAGGCCTACGTGTGTCATGTAAAAGGCCGTCCATGGTTTTAAACTTATTTATGCCTGTCAATAATATAATTTTGGACAAAGGCAGCCTGGTCAGTTTTTTTTCCTACTGATCACTTAAGCAGTGAAACAGACTTGTCCTGTCAGTGTGATTGAGACTGAAATGCTTATATGTGAGCCCTGTGTTGTTCTCCCCTGAGACGCGCAAACGGTATTAGGAAGGTGCCACTTCTACTCTGACTTACGTGTCACAATCAACACTGCCAGCGGCGGAGCAAGTCGGGACAGATCATGCTTTCATCGCGATTGCTCCGCTTTTCCGCCAAGGACCTCCGGCTTAGACTCACTGATTAACCACAAACCCAGTGAAAGGCAGCTACGGAGCATTACACAGGAAGAGCCCGTTCAAAGGAAAAGAAATCACGAAACTGAAATTGACATGTGGGGTTGCAATTTTTTCTTTAGTAATTTTCGATAATAATAGGTCATGATGTCATTAACAGTGCGCTGGCTGTTTTCCGCCTGAGGCTTGAGCAATATTGAAAACTATCATCTACTGTGACATGACAAGTAGGGCTAACCCGGGGCACGTTTACATAAGAAATTCTCGATTTGTCTAATCTAAAATGGATTTTTTTTTCAGCTGAATAAATATCATACACCGTTCATATTAATTAATCTATTCCCGGAGATTGTTATTTAAACAACAACCCCACAAATATGCTGCGCAGAGACATAAAGCCAATGTGTCAGCGGGCGGCGCTATTCCCCATGACCTTGTTCGTAAAATGTGAAATCGAGGAATTTCGGGAAGTATGTGCACTAATTTCGATCGTAAAATCGACACTACAAAACTGGCGACACGGCTGCAGTTTGTGCAGTTTTGAAACGGAAGTAAATTATTGACCCCGAGCTACTTTCTGCCGAGTTTGATTGATCGTGTGCAAACCGCCGATGTGTCTGAACAGGACATCGGGCAGTGGAGTATGTAGGCGTTAGTAAACTGCAATTAAATAAACCACCACGCAGAGTTTCAGCATTTAGGTAATAAATACGCACAGATATGGACTGAATAAACATTATTTTAACGCGTGTGCATTGTTCCTCGTCTTCTGTCGAAGGACTTGGGTTTATTAACCGGACGGACATTGCCGGTGTTTGGCCAGTTGCTCTCTCCGGTCCAAGCGGCTTTGCTGACGATCCACCGATGCCACTCAGCCGGGATGGCTGGTTATAGCGTTGGACATGATTTATGGATGGATGCCGAATTCTGCTACATCTGTAATACTTGGGAAAACTGAGTGTATGTGGTGCACATTAATCATCGTGGCAATCAAGGGTTAGTCATTGGTTATTTAGTCCATTTCCATGGAGCCAGGTATACATCTTAAAGTGTTATTTAAATAAAAGCAAGCTGATTGCAGTTTCGTACGCAAAACATAGAACGAATTTCTATGGGAATTTTCAAAAGAATTCAGAAAGGTACATGTGGTAGCCTATAAATTACAGCTACTGTGGGGTGATCATTAAAAATCAATTCTCTTTAACTCGGCTCTGTGGATTTAATTGACCAAAAGTAATAAAATAAAAATACGTTTGAAAGACCATGAACTACCGCCGAATTTGTAATTGCAGTATATCCATCCATCCATCCATCCATCTTCCAACCGGTTATCCAGTACAGGGTTACAAGATGGCCTGTAGTCTGTTTTAGGGAACACAGGGCAGAGATACGCCTGTCCATCGCAGAGTACACGAACACACACATTGTAATCGTAATGCATTTAATAAAAAAAAAATCTCACACAGGTCCAGCGACGCCACGCTTTTGACTCGCTGCTCTGCGCTTCCTGAATCCATTTTCTCATGCGCTCCAGTCCCGCTTTTGCGGCGATCCGCTCCGGATTCCTGCTCCTTCACTCTGCTGTTTCTGCTCACTTTGCTTTCAGTAGTAGCGGCTTCGTCTCTGGCGGCGGGGCTGGATTTTCTGTTTCCACCTCACCTTGGCTGGATTCTCTTTGCATTTTCGGATAGTCTTTTCCTTCATTGCCCGGTATTCGTGGTCAGAAGGCCGATGCCGTCACCTTCCGATCGCTCCCGTTTGACCATGGATTGACTTCAAGCTTTTCTTTAACCCCCCAAACTGGAGAAAGCAGTCAGATCCATCGCTTCTCCTTGCCCGTCTTCTCCACACTACTAGCTGGCCAACTAGCTAAATGTTTTCACCGGCTGGCTTCAAACCTCTCAGCTGCCGAATGTTTAGTAACGTTGCTGCGGAGAAACTGTGAACTTCTTCGCTTCCCGGTCGCAAGGAGCGAAAGGGGCAGCGGAGGATTTAAAATACGGATTTCCCCGAAGGTTTTTGTATAAACACTAATTATTTTTTTTCTGAAAAGTGATGGCGGAGCGGGGAGCACGATTGCTCCTCTCCCTCTCTTGTCTCACCTTTCTTTATTCGACCACCTTGACCAAGCATGCTGACAAAGGTAAGGTTTCCAGCCTCACATCTCACCTTGATCATTACAGTTCTAGCAGACCATTATGATAAAGATGCTTCTGCAAACCAAGGAAGACCTATAAAGTTGAGGAACTCCCCAGGAATGCCTCCACACCAGGAGTAATGGAATTCCGCTCCATTCAATGGTTACTTAGTTGGGCGCATAACTGGTTATTAATGGACACAGCTACATTAGCTATAACTACCCGTGGCGTGTTCCTGATAAGACCCACCATTCACTAAAGGCATATGCCCTGATCACTGTGCACATTGAGTAATTTTAGATGTAGTTTATATGTATTTAATTTCGCATTTCTTTCCAAGACACACATTTAGCGTTCTGCTCTTACAGTTCGTGAAACGAATTGGGATGTAGGCTATTGGTAAACATGGTTATCTTTGTAGGTAATTCTGAGTGTTAAAAGGCTTTATCCCATGCTAGGTGGTTAGTAAAGACTGCATGTTTTGTGAGGGTGCGGGTCGCTGTGTGGGACATTGTCTCATTGTAATACTGGTTACCTGTATGATTTTTATTTCTACACCTGGTGGAGATTTCTTTAAAAGCGAGAGGGCCGTAAACACGATGTGAACATATCCGCCTATACAGATGGTTCTTTCCCCCTAATAATTACACAGAACTACATAATTACTACTGGTGGCTTTGCGTCTATTTTTACGCTGTCTGTTGTCCGTACGCTGTCTCTAAAAAAGTCTCTGCGAAACAGACAACATAAGATCCACTGTAACAAATGTAAAATGAAATGTAAAATGAAACAACAGGTTACTACCATCAAAGGAGCGTATCGCATATTGTTAACGCCACAATTTTGTTTTACTTTGAATACGAGTGAACTTCGGAATTAGTCTGTCACTATCAAATAATATAGAGTTTTTTTCGGGGGATAAAACTAGCTGTAGTTGAATTAAGTGTTTCATGTATGTATTATTTCATCTAGGTGTATGTTTAAATGGTATTCTTTTGTACTCATTTGTTTATTTAAATAAGCATATTGTTTCCTGCACTGGCAAAAACCAGCATGGCACCAGTCTCTCCAGACCAGCTGGAATATCCATTTAAAGGGTGGTTAAAGTTCTGTGATGTTTAGAGGCTGATCACAAAGTAATCATTTTTCAAATTCATGTTCTAAAACATACCGTCGCATAAATGCGTGCAATTTTTAATGAAATCAAATGCCAAGCTTGCGAAGAGTTACCTTTGGCCCAAGTGAGACTGTAATCTGATATATCTCTGAATTTCAACATAGGCCTCTCCAGGATTATGGCTTTTTGTGCTTAGAATTCTTGGTGGGAAGTCACGTGACTCGGGTGCACATCCATGGAGTGGCGGTGCTCTAACAAAGCGGCAATTGCCTGGTGTTACTTATTTCCTAAACATCTAGAGGTTCGAATAACTGTCATTTGCAAAAAATGAACCATTATTCTGTCACATGAGAAATTATGTTCATGTGAAACTTTGATTTTTAAAGACCAAAATGGCATTCTGATTTGGTTGTGAAGTACTTCTTGAAAAGATTTTTTTTTTGGGCTGGCTTCCCGAGCGGAGGAAATGAGTGGCACGCGGGGAGCGGACCACGGCAGTGTGGTGGGGAGCTGCTGGGCTCGGCCGCGCGAGGCACTTGACAGAGCCTCTCCCCAGCATGAAAAGGGCTTGGCAGTGGTTTTAAAAAAATGCATGCTTTGCTGGAGATCAGTACAAAGGCATGGATGGGGGTAGGGTGAAGTGGGCAGAATCTCTCTGGAAAGTAATAAAACCAGGAGATTAAGGGGAGAGGGGAGTTCCTTTGGGGGGGGGGGGGCGAGGACTTTGGGGAATTGCAGTGGGGGCTGTATGGGGAGAGTAAGTTTCAGATTACTAATTGCAGGGGTCCCCTTCTGGAAAATGTCTGTTTATTTTAAACGCATTTTTTAAACTTTACTCTGCCCAGGCTGCACCTCTAATTCATACCAGGAACAACCGATGTGCTGGAAATGTTTTTGTAACTGAACAGATCTCATCTTACAGCATTTCTCAATTTATTTTGTGAATGTGTGCAATGGAATTTGGGTACGTTTAGTTGCATTGATGAATTGCAGTAGATGTAGGGAAATAATGAAGCTGTCATTTTAGCTGTAATATGATCTATCAGTGTTCTCCTTCCAGTATATTGCGTGAAAACTAAGGCTGTAATAGTCCCCTCCCCCCGCTGAACTCGCTTCACCTGCCCCCAGTCCTAGCTGGTCTATGATGTTCTGCTTATTACATTGCTTATACTGATGGCTTTATTGCTGTCGTGATTCTTACTCTCGGAATGGTTATATTAATATCGTCCAACCTTTGAGGCTGGGTTACCACGCAGTGACTTCCTGGTTTCACAGCACACTGACCTTCGTCGAGCTCCCTGGATTGCGTGTGCTTGTAGATCCATCTAATGCAATGGCTTATCACTGGGTTCCTGAAACCAGAGCAGCGTTGCTCAAATTCTTCACTTTGTCAAGATTACCTCTGTGGCCTCATCTGCTACCCAGGGCTGTCTGGGGATTGTCTCAGGTGACGAAAGGCTCTGTGAATTTGCCCCCGCCAGGCTCCGCATAAAAGCCAGCGTCTTGTCGACCTGCCGCTCGCCGTGGTTACAGTAATAACTACGTCATGCTGTGGTGCACGGCCCGGCTCAGTGCACCCATTTGTAATTAGTTAAATTTGTTAGTTAAATTGTAATGGGGAATTTGTTGATAATTGATTTTCGGAAAGGGAATTTGACCCCTGGCACTGCTGCTGAGGATCGTGAAGATAATGACTTAAATTCACGAGCTTTGGGAGAGGCGTCTCCGTCAGTGTGGGTGTGGCGCTTTTAATTAATTTGATAGCTTCTATTAACGACTTTGGCGCATTACCTTCTGGCATCATGCTAACAGTGAAATAAGTTGATATTCTCTGTGTTTAGTGCCTTTATATTACCTGTGACTCTCCGCCTGGGATTCATCCCCACCTTCAGTATGACACTGTATATTAATGACTGATTTATGTGGACAGACCACTCATAATTGCCTATTGACTTCACTCACTAGGAGGGAATAATTGCATGTTTATCCAAGCGGTTTATTCATTAGTTTAGGTAATTATGATACCCTGGTTAACACATACATTCGGTGTCTTACATCCAAAATATATGGATTGGCAGTGGAGGGTGGCCCTCTGGCGATGATGTCATGGGAAGGTTGGCAAATGACTGTTCCCTGTGTACCTTGGTGAAATTGACAATTTCCGTTACAGCTTGGTATCTGTTCCACTCTTCATTAATTATGTTTGGTTAGCAAAGGAAAAAAAAAGTGGCGTTATTAAAGGCTGTGATTATCATAATTTGTTTCTGCTATTTCTGTGCCTTTAATCTATGTTTGCCTGCAGTGTTTGTTAAGGGGGGGGCTGTTGCTTTCCATTGAACAAATGCATAATTTTATCTAGGATTTAGTCTTTGTGGGGGGGTCATAGTCACCGCTGGCTTTCGGGATGGCTCACACATTCCGTGAGGATATTATCCTTTGGCTACTCGCGTTATGCAAATAGAGCCTTATGAGGGGAATCTATTGGAAAATTTGTACATGGCACCTAGGTGACTGGTTCCAGACGCCAAACAGGCCGTTCTGTCAGAGGTTAGGTTACCCTTTTGGCTCATGCTAATAATTGTGAATAATATGAGGATTATCGGGCATTTGTCAAAGCTGGAGATTGTTTTCACTGACGCACGCATGGGGGCTGGGTGTGGAGGAACAGAAGTCCTACAGGCTGAATTAATGTGTGGTGCATCTGTTTATTCCTTTGCATGTCACTCACAGTCGTGAACATTGGGGGGGAGGGGGCTGAGTAGCTAGTTGCTGTGAAGATGAGGCAGCCTGGAGGGGGCGCTGTGTGCGCTGGTTCTGGGGTGTGTCAGCACAGTGCACTGATGCCTTCTTTTTATTTTTCGACTTGTAATGGAACTTTAAGGTGATGAGTACAATTTTGACGTTTGCTACCGGCAAACATCTCTCCTGTTTATGATCAAGTTGAAGTGTTTATTTGCCCTGTCAGCTACTAAATATATTTCTCTGTGCTTGTTGTAAAGTTCACAAAACTTGTTTTATCCCCCCATGCTGCATGAGTGCTGGCTTGTGCCCTTGCTGGTCAACAGCTTCCAGACTCTCTGTGAAGAGGGTGAGCATGCAGCAGAGGCTTGTGTGTTGTTGACGCGCCAGAAGCAGCAGGCAGCTCTCCTCCCGTTGGCCTCCATGCTGTGGTTAATGCCAAGCATCCTGTGGAGTGGGAGCATGGGGTTTGGTCAGGGGGGCTCCTGTGTGCCCCCCCCACCCCCCATCCCAAGGCCGCCGACAGGCCCAGGTCAACAGGTGTGCAAGCTAAATACAGGCCCGGCAGCGGACCTACAGAGGCCCTGGTGGAACCTGAGTTAAGGCTGGTTCATACTTCGCACTAGTGCAACACTCGTGTATCCACTCTGTGCATACGTACTCAGAAACGTTCATACTTCTCCGGTTAAGCCACATACTTTGCACATGCGCACAATGTATTGTTCATATGTTATTATTATTATTATTAATAATAATATTTTCCTGATATTCCCTGCACACGTACCATGGCAGTGAGGTTTGTGTCTGTTTCTCTATGTTTTACACATTCAGAGACTCAGCTCACCAGGTCGCCAACTTTGGTCGGCTGGCTGGCATGAGATTTTCAATTCGAAACAAGTCTGCACACACATGCACGCACATTTATATGTACGTAACAGTTTTATTACCTTGTAAATAGTCTCATCAAAACATCTATGTTGGTATTTAAAGTGGATGCCAGCGAATCGATCATACGCAGTGTGTCCGAGTTTAGCATGCACCGCTGCGTGGCCATAAATTTTGGAGTGCAGTAGGCATTCATTCTCAGAGGCACACAATGACGTCAGACACATCTTAAACGTTTGAGTGGACGTGTGCGTTAGTACGTGT